CAGCGAGTTCACCAAGATCGAGTTGACCTTCACAGAGCATCAGGATGGACCACTGGATGAGTCGGCCACTCTTTTGACCACCAACGCACACAGACCCAACCACACTGCCCACAACGACGGGGCTATTTAACCACCCTCAGCGGAGAGAGATGGCGAGAGAGAGCGCTCGGCTCCATTAGAGAGGCCTTCTCGTACACTGGGCAGCTTCCGTTTGACATAACTCGTATCACGGTCGATTTCAAAGGGGACCGTACGCAAAGACTACAACGTGAAGGGCCGCATATCCCACAATGCATGCACTAATGACCTTAACACTTTTTGTAGGCAGCGGATCAGTCAGGGACCACAAAATCATTCTCGCTCGAGGACTCACACACTTGAAATTCACACTCACACACTTTCACTTAGGAGCAAGGTGACGACCCACACCACACCTCGACCAGACACGATACTAGAAGGACAAAGAAATAATGGTGCCTTTAGACAGCGCTCGGTTACTGTCAACAAAGGAGATCTAGAGGGCCCCGGCGACACGGAGCTCTCCCAAATCTTCCATTCGACCCAGGAAGCCCGAGTAGATGCAACCACAGGTGAGATATCGGCGACCAGGAGGCTTGGAAACACTCGATGGAGATCAATATCACTAAGCCTTTCGAGAAAATCCAGGATACGTCTCGCAGCCTGTCAGAGCAGAACTGAGAGGCATCACGACCAAAGACATTTGGCAAGGACAGCAAAAAACGGGAAAAATAACTTCAAGAGAATTTGTTACAAAACAGCAGCTTCGGATATGACGCGCATTAGCAGGCAAAACAGTATTTGCCTGGACTGTGCCAAATAACACCAACGATTTCAATGATTTCTTCTGCCCAGGTTAATCCACGTCACGTACAGATGCGCTTTGTACAGCATTCGCAGTACAAAGAAGTCAGATGTGTTTACATATGAGGGCCTTTTTCATCTATATATGTATATATATATATATATATATATAGAGAGAGAGAGAGATTTTTTTTTTTACATCAATCCTGATTGCTCTGAGGTACAGCGTCACCTATTTTAAGGTGAATAGATTATGTCTCATGACTGGTTCCATTTTTATGTACGTCGGACCACTCTTTATTAACGATACGTTTTTGATTTTCAGTGCATTTGTTGTAATCGTGTAACTCTTCATTTTTAAAAGAAACATTTTGTACGTCACAACAACCTTTCTTCAGATAGTTTCAAGCTGCATTTAGGACCTAAAAAAAACATGTAAAGGACTATTTCAGGAATTTACACCATAACTTATATTTGTCTTCAGATTCAGATTGCTCTTTTATCTTACTTTTATTTTATTTTTTAGAGAAAAAGCTATTCACGTAGGACTCAATGCCATGGGATTGTTAAAGAGGTATCGATTTTAAAACGGACGAAAAAGGAAAATAATTCAGCATTAATGTATTTATTTTTGTTTTATTATGACAAGATTACACTAACTCCTGATACATAGGGGAACGATTCTCTGGATGATGTGTTTATCCGCTGTGTTGTTTTTTTATTTTTTATTCTCAGAACCTCCTGAGGCGCTTCCGTCAGAAGCGTAAAGCCGCTGGATATCAGGACATTCACGTCTGAAGTGTTTTATGTAGCAACCTCTCAGTGCAATAGTGCAACAGCTATGCAGGGACAATCATGACCAATTAATGAGCTCACAGGTAGGACAAAATAACCAAAAGTAAACTAGCAGAATTTAATAAGAGGCTGAGAGGTAGAATAAGTTTGTTAGAGTAACATAACTATTGTTGAGATGTGAAATAGTGATTGTTAAGCGCTAACAAAGGCTTCATTCCTGTTCTTCTTTATCGAACACTTATTCCATTTTTTTTTCACACTGTGTTAAAGAGGAACGCCCTTTCATTTCGCTTAAAGCATTTGGTGATGTCCTACAGGTCAGATCAGTGTTTTCACATCGGATCGCCTGCCTTAGAAAAGAGGAAATGTCTTTAAAAATGTGGTGCTCTAACATGCCGTTTGAGTCTGTCATACACTGCTGCTATTTTCAATCTTGAATGTGTATAGAGATATTGTACAGTCATAAATCAGAGAGTACTATTGTATGCTTACATACTATAAACCAGAAAATGCTATATCAGATTTAAATATACATATTATATATATATATAATGCAGATGGAAATTGCTATAATAAAACAGTTTGACAACTTTATGGCTACCTGCCTGCATTTATTTTATTTTATTTTTTAAAGGTTAGATTGTGGCAGATGTAACTCTGATTAATGTGTTTAATATATAATGCAATTTAGTTATGGCAAATAAAACAGCCACAAAATTGCTGCAAATTTACTTTTTACACAATACTTACTCTAAATAATATTGTCTAAAACATTTTAAAACAGAAAATTGGTTAATTTTTTTTTTTTTTTTTGGCTTGAATGTTTATCAGCCAAGCAGCCTCTGTTGTCTGCCCTTATATTATGATGCGAGTCAAGTTTGATTTTGATTTTGAGTTATCTGGTAACATGATGTCTTGAAATTTTGTGACATTCTAATTTAGGGTCATGAAAACAAAAATCGACACCGATGTGCACACAAAACTTCTAGTATGATTATGATGTTTGTGGGTCAATTTGACCCAAATATTTTGGCTGATACCACTAATTATTAAGGTTTGAAAGGCGAAAACCGATATATTGCCTGATAAATCTAAATCCAAATTTTATATGATTTTTGAAAGCCTGGTTACAAAAACAAAAGTCTCACCATTAAAAGCCATGTCCCAAGCACACAATTCTAATGTTCTCATATTTTTATGTAGCCTATATGACAGAGTTAAGTGCAACATGTGCAGCAGAAGTCTATTTTCCTATGTCTATGATATTTCAAACGATTCAAAACCATCATGGCGAACAGTGTGCATCTGAAGTGTCTAAACTGAAGGAAATAATCCATTATTTATCAGCTTTAATATATCGGCCCAATTTTCTTATCGGCCCAATAACATTAAAAATGAACATATCGGCCGATACTGATATGGTGGCCAATATATTGTGCATCCCTAACATTTGATTGTTAAAGGCAGCTGCACAGGTTTGAGATGAAAATATATATTTTTTAATTTATTTTGTTATATCAATTTCTCAACTACCCTGAGAGTATTTACATATGCGTTTGGCACACTTTTATCCAAAGAAACTTATAGGGCCAGGTTTACTAACAGCTTGCGACAGTGCAAACACTCTTTTAGCGTTAAAAAAAACTCAGGATTTACTAAAGACAGGAAGTGAAAAATCATGTGAAAAATTTGCGCTGAAGAGGCACGGACAGTTATTTTTGCGGCTGACCTTATTTCACTTATGTATTTGTAGGAGTTTTCCTATCAGAAGCAAAATTTATGAGACGAGAGTATTTAAATGAATCAAGCAAGGGGATATACTAAGGTTTCCACTAGTCAATTTACTGGCATTTGTGTTCTCGCTCTAATTTGCCCTGTTTCGTAAATCTGGCCCATTACCTAATACAGATATTGACCACCAGGGAGCGCTGCATGACAGGATCTTTATTATCTTCGTATGCAACAAGCCAACACACTGAAAACCAATCCTGTGTGTAGCAAACAATGCAAAACATAACATTAAAAATGAAAGACATCTGAGTTGAAAGCCTTCTGATGTATTTCTACATTTAAACTACATTAATATCTAATCCTTCCAAAACGTCTGTCATGACAGTTCGCTTTACAGTAAATAATGGCAAACTAAACAAACATAAAAATCCTGCAAAAACATGACACAATAGTAAAAGAAAACTATTTTGAAAACAGGGATTCACAGGCCTTGGGCACAAACAAATCAAGAAATTTGAAACAATAAAAGGCACAGATGAATCAAAAATACCATACAGCAGATTTAACCTGAATAGAAATGCCTAAAAATAAACAAGAGGTGTGTTTGATTAGGTTAAAGCAAACTCAAATATGTCACTATTACACAATACAGTCACAAAATCAATAATCTTCAACAGCTACTGAGAATTTAAATGAAAGACACTGATTAAAGCATCCCTTCACATATTACATTGGCATGATGGCCCTCATCTTTCTGTCCAAATTCAACAGTACTGTTCAAAATAAACCAATACAGTTGTAAATATAGGAGCGCACGTTAAAGTTTTCCAAAGCAACACGGACCCATCATAAATTCCCTTTTTGATTTAAAACATTAACAAAAGACAAAACCACTTCTGATGTTGATCAGAACACCATGAAAGTCAAAAACACTGTATGGGTTACAAATGTTCATTATGTCAGAGTGTGACTCATGGATGAGCTCCCTTTTGGTCCAATGCCACCCACAAGGCTTTGTGCCATGCATTCAGACCAACTCACAATCTTAAATCACTGCCAACTGTCAAAAAGCTAACCGTTACACTAATATCAAACAAAATGATTTAAACATATCTGGTTGAATTAACTGTAGATCAGTGGATATAAAAATAGTAAATAACGAATCTAAGCTCTAGATTCAAGGTTTAATGATAACACAGTGATCATGGAAAGTGCATTTGACAGTGTTTCAGTGTTGTCTTCATCTTCCAGTTATTACACCTCAGTTCCTGTATCTCACTCTGCATAAATTGGCAACGGTTGCATGTGTTCCATTTTTCACCGAATAATATGACAGCAATTTGCATACTACCAGTTTTGAAATGAAGATGGCGATGTTAGAGCGTTTGAATAGGCAGTAAGACAGATACTGAGCAAGGTGTATTGTTGTTGTGACATTTCCCAGCATGCTACATGGCTCATCTCCAAAGTTTGAAGGCAGTCTACAATACGTCATGGAGTATTCATGCTATTTTATCAAGCTTAAGTCAGTGACGTACCTTGTAAGTGTTATGTTCCCTCAATATCTTAACTGATTCTGTAATTCAGTTTAAACAGGAATCTGTTCTTCCTGTTATCATTTTGCATTTTTTTCAATGCATTTTAAAGTAAATCTCATTCAAAAATAAGAAGCTAGAACTACAGTATCAAAACCCAGTTTTAGCCTCAGACTCTCATCAAACCTTTAACTCTAAAATATGTAATACGTTTCGTGAGTAATAATCATCCTCTCTTATATATCTACAAAATATATGGCTGAGTGTGAATGCAATGCTCATACTCGTTTAATCCGTAGACGCATCTCTACGCAATGTCACAGGCCTATTCTTCCTCCTCTTCCTCCTCCTCATCATCATCCTCATCGTGACAGTGTGTGATCTCCTGTGGCGTCTGAGGGAAGAGGTGTGGAGGGTTGATCTCGCTTATGGAACGGGTCAGCTGGTGTCTCTTGCACTCGAGGTCTCTGAAGTCGATGGAGTGGCGGTTGCGCGTGGCCATGGGCGACTCAGTGTCGTTAATGTCCACGTGAGCGTGCTCCACGGTCGACTCGTGAGGCATCTGATTGTAAACCACAGACAAAAAAAATGTCTACTAAAGGTTTCTTGACTTTTATGACCAATGTATCAACTGTAGACATTGTGTTTGTTGAGCTTACCAGGACGTGGGCGGCTCTGAACAGGTAGCTGAAGGGGTAGTACAGGAGATTGATGAAGGACGCAGCGTACAGGTCAGCGTAACGCATCACTTGAGACGCGAACAGAGTCTGACGAGAGCCACTGCGGAAAAGACTTCCCATCATCCCATAGCACATGTCCATGTCATGGGTCACTTTCTGAGAAAATCAGAGATACAGAAACAGCACGGTACTGAGTTTGATTTAGGAAATGGTCAGTAAGACTTTTTTTAATTACTTTTATTCAGCAAGGATGCATTAAATTGATCATAATCGACAGTAGAAACACGTATAATGTTATTTCTATTTAAGTAAATGCTGTTCTTTTAAACTATTTACCAAAGAATTCAGAAAAAATTTTTTTTAGCACTGTTTCCACAAAAATATTAAGCAGCACAACTGTTTTTTATTATTATTATTATTATCATCACAACATTGATAATAAAAAAATGTTTCTTGAACAGCAAATCGGAATATTAGAATGATTCCTGAAGGATCATGTGACACTGAAGTTAATGATGCTGAAAATTCTGCCATCACAGGAATAAATCATATTTTAAAATCAGTTATTTTAAATTATAATAATATTTCACGGTATTTTAGATCAAATACATTCAGCCTGGGTGAACATGAGAGATTTCTTTCAAAAACATTCCAAAATCTTACCGAGCTCAAACTTTTAAACAGTAGTGTAATTACTTTGATAATCAATCTAGTGAATATTTCTAAAATGAATAATATATTATTTCAATTTCTGCTCAATATTAAAATATGATTAGTGTCATTAGGACTTCAATAAAACCTAAATCTGGCATCCAAAAAAGAAAATTCCATCAAAATAAAAAATTTTGTCAAAAAGATTATATTCTTTGATGCGCTCCATTTGTTTGCTACACATACCGTTCTATAAACTATTTGTCTCTCAAGCACCTTTTTAAAAATGCATGCTTTGGAACTTTCATGCACTTTTTCCAAATTATAAATGTGGAAAGCCCTGAATATTTTTTCCCCATGAAAGTGGATTTTTCACTCCAGTAACGCGATGTCACTGACAGGATTGTCAGTGAACAGCGTACTGCTTCCGTTTGTATAAAGAAATATACCTTAATCCTCCTCTGAAGAGAGCTGATGTCGGGTCTCTCATTGCTGCTGCTATCCAAATGCCTGTGAACAAAAAAAAGAAAGGATGGAGAAAAATGACAGGGGAAACAGAGAGGTGTAGGGTGAGAGCGGTGTCAAAGGAGTTATATGTAGTTGAAGGCATGAACTGTCAGTCTTTAAATAGAAAAGAATGCGCACCCCTTTATCTGCATGTCAAATGGCTGCAGACAGCAGGGAGGGAGCGTCGTGTCCCATGAATGCCAGCACACACGAGCACTGGATGGTGGCAGTTAATGGATGATACTTACTTGTAGAGCTCTGCCAGGAAAATGTCCAGACTCTGTAGTTCCTCAAACAGTGCTGCAAAACAAAGAGAGAGATCTCAGTGAACTATGTACATCTGCATCCCCACCCCCAATTATTATTTCATTCAAATAATAAAGAAATATCTTACTATCGCAGTAATACACTATTGTAGCCTACTGTTAAAAAAAGTGTTTAATAATAATGTTATATTATAATGCAATATGGTATAACGAAATAGATTTGCTTTGATTTTTTTGTATTATTAACAATAATAATTATAATTCAATTTATGTCATAATAAAAGTATTAACAGATTTATTATTATTATTATTATTATTAATAACAATATTAATCATTATTATAATCATTATTATTTTATTTGACAGAACAGCAGAAAAATGACAATACTATAATTTATGGTTGTCTTAATTTTTTGTTGTTGCTTTCAAACGTTAAACTATTGAACTTTTATTTAGGCGGAAACTGCAGGGAGACCTTAACGCTTCTCTTTATTGACAACAACAGATTTATAAATTATTCTTATTACAAATTTGGGAAGATGGTTGGAGCATGTTGCTTTCCCAAATGCACATTATAAGCAACTCAAACACACAGCACTTGCAGAATAGCATTTACTGAAAATGAACAGAGTGCTGTGCTTTGGCTTTACTCGGAAACATGTAGTGCGTAACCGTCAGACTATATTATATAATTACATCACAACCGTTGCGTTTTGATGATCGCACTAAGCCATATCACATTCTCACAACCATGCATTGTCAAAATTCATTCAAAAGTTACTGGGCAACTGGCGCAACTCGTGCACAAGCTCGTCATCTAACGTTCCCGTCTAACCCTAACTGGAATAAACTGTATACAGAAAGGGAGCAGACAATGTGACCGATCGTGAAGCTGTCCATAACTTGGGTCTAGCCCGAGTTTAAGCACTCTCACAAACACTCCCGTTAAAATCACGGAAGACATGCGACATGAATCTCTTACATCGAATCTGCACTTTGTTGTTTATGATGGGAGAATTTGCGAGTTTCAGTCAGAAAGCACACACGCTAAACAAAACTCTTCATATCAGTGATGACAAATCTGAATCTGAGTTTTTTTTTAAATGTCTGTACAGTTTTTATATATTTTTAATTTCAGTTTTAGTTATTTTAGTACATCAAGTTAAACAAAATGCAAATGTTGCTTTGGCAAATAGCCAAAAAAACAATTAAACTTATTCTGTTTTAGTTAACGTTTATTTGATTTCAAAGGGGTGGTTGATTGCGATTTCAATTTTTTCATTTTAAATAGTGTGTAATGTTGCTGTTGGTGCATGAACAGTATCTGCAAAGTTGCAGCGCTGAAAGTTCAATGTAAGCAGAGATATCGTCTTTTAAAAATCAGGAAGTGTAAATGCCTACAAAAACGACTCGATTGGGACTACAGCTGGGTTTTAGACGTCACTAACCCATACATTTGCATCAACCCTCCCTCCGGAATACGCAAAAAAGGGCATGGCCATATTTGTGCGGCTTTGCCGAAGAGGAAGAGTTACAAGGGAGAGCTAGCCATGCCGTCAAAAGTGTGTTATTTTCATTCAGCTGTTAGGTCTTCTGTGTTCGGGCTTCCTACAGACGCTGTAGTTCGTCAACAATGGCTACAATTTATGTTTGATAATGTTTCTGACGATTACAATCGTAATTTAGCTCTTTGTGCAGCACATTTCACTGAAGACAGCTTCCAGAATCTCCAACAATTCAATGCCGGATTCCACAAGAAACTGTTGCTAAAAACTGTATTACTCATGTAATCATTTGTATTAAATGTTTAATCAAGATAAAAACGTATCTCAAAAAGCTAACAAGCAGCAGTAGCATTTTCAAGTAGCTGCTACCGGTATAACAGGGTATCAAACTTCTTATGTAATAATAGAAGAATAGAATAATAATAATTAAAAAACGTACCATTCAGAAACGTTTTGTAACAGCCGTGTTTGGGGAGGTTCTGTTTGACTCTTCATCGCCGCTTTCTGGGTCTGATTCAGGCTCAAACTGATACGGCAGTATCGACACCATTATTTACATTAACCGGAGCACATGAAACTGAAACCGGGCGTGCCGGTTTCCGGACAACGTGCGCTACGCAGTTTAGCCAATTGCAACACACCGGCCCAAACTAACCAATCTGAGCCCACTGCCTGTTTCTGAGGGAGTGGTTTCATAGAATCAGGAATCAACCGGTCGTTCAAATGACAGAGGAGAAAGAGGCTTACAATAAAGGTGAAATTTATGAAAAATAAGACTTTTTAAAAAAGAAAAACCACGAATACATGTTACATTGCACCCCATAAACACAATCATGCAAAGAAAAAAAGCAGTAAACCACCCCTTCAAGTAGCAACCTTTTTTTTAATGATTTTAGTTTTAGTTAACTATAATATGACTCACAGCTCTTGTCGGTCCACACGTGCAGCTCCTGAGCCAGCTCAGGAATGACCAGGAACGTTCTCCAGCCCTGCCGCTTCTTAGACTTCAGGATGTCTCCGAAAATGTGGTCACCGATGTACAGGATTTCCTTTCCTTTTGCTCCCAATAGATCACAAACTATATCTGAGGAACCTGAGAAGGAACAATAAACTAATTTAATCAGGCAGTTCAGACAAGAACTGTTAAATAAATATGAAAAATGACATAAATGTTTATCTTACCACCAGAATACACTATGCCATGCTGCAAGGGACCAGTGTATGTCCCGATCTTCAATCTCCCAGTGGTCTACAGAACAGAGACATGGCTGAATCAATCACAGGAACAAGTTCATCACAGGAATCTACTCAAGTGAGTCTAGCGGAGCTTACCGTGTCCACCTGTCTGAGCACTGTGCCCTCTCCAAAAAACACTGGCTTCCTGGCATCCACCAGAATAAGGTCAAAGTAGGACTGCCAGGGCTGATGGGGTGTACCTGCCTGTAATAAAGAAATAATACATTCAATCTGTCACTGTCTTTGTGTATGCAATACAAACGCAACACAATGAGTTCTTATATGGCCTATGATACTCCTTGTCTTTATGTTCATATTCCCTTTCCCAATATTTGTTAATAGCACATTTTTTAATGAAAAATCTGATGGTGTTACAGACACATCATAGCCGGCGAATTGACCCTTAGGGGGGGTTTCTACACAATGCAGCTTGCTACACAAATTATATGTGAAATGTGTACTGGTCTTTGTCCCAGGACATTTTCATTGGGGATCTGAGACAAATAAAAACAACAAAGTACCACTGGTATGCTAGTGTACCAATATGATAAATAAAAACAACACTTACTTTTGGACCATGTGGAAAATCAAACAAGTACGTCATGATTTTCTGAAAGAATAAAGGAGAGGAAATTATGATTTCTATTGTAAATCCAACATATTTGGTCACATCTTAAATGATGAATGTCAGATGGTTGATGAACTCACATCTGTGTACTTGTAGTCACTGTTGGTAACAAGGAACACTTTGGAAACTTCATTCATTCGGCTTAAAAGCAATGGCAATTTGGCCTAGATGAAGAAGACAAAAAAGATATGTAAACAAAACATTACGCCAGTAAACTATAAACTATAATTTATTATAAAAAAACCATACAAAGCTACATAAGGTAACAAAAAATGCTGGTCTGCAGGATGACTTACATCCTTTACCACATATTTCTCCAGGTTTTCAACCGTTTTCACCTTTAGTGAGCCCTAAAATATCACACGGAAGTGATTATTCAAAGTATGACATTCATATTGAGTCCAGAAAGGGGTTTCTTTTTTTAAATAAATGAATATTTTGACACCTAAAAATAGCCTTTACCTTGAAATGGACCCAATCCACAGCATCTCTGACATCCTGAAACATGCTCTTGTAGGACATGAAAAGATCTCCATCTTTAAAGCCCATCTCACAACTGAGGAGGCAAAAAGGTATTATATATATAAAATGGCAATTCATCATTCAATTCTCATGCCAGAGTAGCAACAGAAGCATTAAAATGAGGGCACAAAAACAAACCTTGTATATCTGGAGCAACTAGTGAAGAAGTCAACCAGGCAGGCAAAGAGGTATGTCTCTAATAACGCAGAAAAACAAACAATGTTAACTTGACTATACATAGACTATAGATTCTATATATTCTTTTGCTTTTTAATATTAGTTGATACAAGATTTTGACCTGGGAGGTTGAAGAGTGTGTTGAGGATGTAGAATCGCTCTGTATCTCCACGCTGAATGAACTTGTTTGGGTACAGCTCTCTTATCTCTGGACTAAAACAAAAAATACAAATACACAAAACACACATTTGCTGAAGGTGTGACCAAGAAAAGTCTACATGAAATCGCAAGTTACACTATAAATTTCCTTAACACTAGAACGGCCACGGCGGTCATTTTGACGGTTTTGAATTTAATATCTGCAATAACTTTGTTGAAAAAAGTCAAGTCCTGCTGGTACCTGACTTTTCCTAAAAGTGTCTGTATTTTCATTTAAAATGTTTTTAATATAAATTACACATAAGGCAAAAAAACAAATGAACATATTTACCTATTTCGGCCATAGGCGGTCATATTGACCGCACTGAATTTCGCGGTATTCTTTTGTTACATTTCTCGCGGTTGACCTGTCCTTGTCTATTAGGAAACAATCAGAAGATTCAATTGCAAAATGACAGATATGTTTATTGAGAGCTGGTCAGATGCTGGGAGAGTTAAGGTGTGTATATGTCCGGTATGAAGCCCTTGGCAGCACAGGGACGCTGCGTGTAGAACCATGGAGTGCTGAACACGGGATGACACACGGAAAACGGATACAGGCAGGGAACAAACACGCAGGAAAAATCCACAACGATCTGACAAAGACTAGGCGACAACAATAACACTAAAAAGGGTCGAATCGCTGATCAGTTGCAGCTGGCGCGTTGATCAGAGCGGGCGTGCTGATCAGCTGCAATGATCAGCGACCACGCACGCACAGACACACACACTCACACACACAACAAGACGAGAAAGGAGACAGCGAATTCATAAACCGTGACATTGTCTCTCTCACTGTCAAAAGAATATCTAAATAAGATACTTTTAGTTGTTATTATCTTGTTCTGAGTTATGTTGAATGGATATGGAAATAGCGCTATCTGTTGTGAATATGCGATAATTGCGGGCTACTGATATTATTATTTATAAATGTATAATTAAACTTTTTTAAATGTACAGTTTGGTGTTGTTTTGTTTTTAAAAGATATCCTAATACAATAAATGCATTAATCTCTCAATTGGGTATTTATCGTTAAAGATATAGAGATTGCAATCTAACGGTCAAAATGACCGCTTGTGGCAGTTCTAGTAGTTATGGAATTCTGGCACTTCTAGTGTTAATGCACATTTCTTGTCTTATTGGGAATGACGCACCAGTGCATGTTCTTACAAATAAAAAGGGGTTCTAATAAAAAATAAATCCTAAAAATGAAGCTTTTATTATCTGTCGACGAATAAACACACAAACAAAGGAAGCACCACGCTTCACTAACCAGTAGCTCTTGAATTATGAGTGCTGACTCACCCACGCATGAAGTTAAAACCATGAGCGCACACAAGGATGTTTCCATATGCATCTACTTTCAGCAGGTTTCCATACGTTGTATCAAACACCAAGCCTCTGAAAGACGTAGAAAATGTGTGGGAATCAAAACACGCAGTTGAAATACAGAATAGTAGCATGTTGGGAAAAGGAACTTTCAAATCACCTTGTGGGAAATGCAGGGTCATAGACAAAATTTAGCAGCTCTTGTGGGTAACCAATGGAAACCAGTCGCTCCACAGTCAGATCAAAGCCAAGAGATTCATACTCCGGAGACTTATACACTATTAACAGAGGAGAGAACAGAGGCAAGAGGCAATCTGATAAAGTCCAATACAACACATGAACGGGATGAAAGCAGTAAATGACAAATATTATTGTATACACTACTGTTCAAATGTGTGAGATCAGCAAGATATTTCATGTTTTTAAAAAGAAGTCTCTTATGCTCACATAGGCTGCCTGCAATAATTGTTTAAAAATACAGTACTAACGGTCATTTTATATGGTATTAATAATACGGTAATATTATTACAATTTACAATGTCATTTTCCATTACCTGTAATTTTCAGCATCATTACTTCAGTCTTCAGTGTCACATGATCCTTCAGAAATCATTCTAATATGCTGATTTGGTGCTCAAGAAACTTTTCTTCTTATTAGTATCAATGTTGAAAACAGTTTTGTAGCTTAATATTATTGTGGAAACCGTCATTTATTTTTCAGGATTATTTCTGGAATAAAACGCTCAAAAGAACAGCATTTATTTGAAATAAATACTTTTTGTATTATTATAATGTCTTTACTGTCACAAAAGTATTCATTTCTTTCAAAAAATTAAATCTTACTGACCCCAAACATGTAAACGGTAGTGTATATATTAAAGGGATAGTTCGGCCAAAAATGATATTTAACCCATGCATTACTCACCCTCAAGCCGTTCGAGATGCATATGTCAATCTTGTTTCAGACGAACACATTTTCAGTTATTTTAGAAAATGTCTTAGACCAGGGGTCTCAAACTCAACTTAACTGGGGGCCGCTGGAGGTAGAGTCTGGGTCAGGCTGGGCCGCATCAAGTATTCCACAAAAAATAGTATTCAAGTATTCCAAAAAAGGAGCACAACTGATCCAATCTTCTCAATCTTTATTATTAACGTTTCTTCTGAACTGTTCCTCTGAATTTGAACATTCCTTTCTGTACATGATTGGTTCTTCATGAGCTGTCCTTCTGACAGTTGAAGTTCATTTCACAAACTTTCTTTGTCTATAACACATATTTGTGATATTTATATTTGCTTATGTCCTTTTTATTTTATTTATATACCCAATGAAAATATCTGACTTCCGGCAACGATCGACGCGCGTTCACGGGTGATTTGTTTTGCTCTGCTCTCTGGCTGCGCTGGCGCTTTGGTTCTACGTCACGACGGTTCCTACGCTACGTCATACCTCGTACGCCGACTTCCATCACCCGGAAGTCAGATATTTTCATTTCTAAAGTTTTAAATATGTATATTTTTACGACAAAACCGCACGGATTACCCTCAGAAGGCCTTCGTTTATCCCCCTGGAGCCGGATGGATTACTTTTGTGAAGGATGTATGCACATGTTGGGACTAGAAGGAGGTGGACCCCATTGCTTCACATTATATCCACTGAAGGGTCTAAGACATTTTCTAAAATAACTGAAAATGTTTTCGTCTGAAACAAGATTGACATATGCATCTCGAACACTTGAAGGTGAGTAATGCATGGGTTAAATATCATTTTTGGCCGAACTATCCCTTTAAAAATAACTGGAAAATGGTCTGATTGTTGCCAAATTCTCCATTTTCTTCCTTTGCTGGTAAAAGTATAAGACATTTCTAGAACCCATTTATAATTTCCATGTCAAAATGAACTTAAAATATTACAAAAAAGATCATCATCATTAGCATTTCTATCAATCTCATGAAGGACTTTGCCATTTTTTAAATAAACTCTTGGTTGGAAACCCTGTTTTAGCTCATGGTGCCTCTCATTTCCTATTTTAAACCAAGCCCTTTTTCACAGCATACTATTTCCATCTTCAATTAGGATGAATCTATAAATGGATTTGGAATGACTGCTATGTGAATGACTTCAAGTTGACAAATGAACGGCTTAATTTATGTAGAAACAAAAAGGTTTAAGTGAACCCTTTTCAGGACCTGTATAGGCCCCAGACATTAATGTGCCATTTTTCAAGAAACCCAACTTTACCCAGATCAGCTAAATGAACATTTTACCAAAGAAATGACAGACTTCTGATTGAAAGAGAGGAAGTAAATGTCAACATTGATGAAACGCAGTCGACCCTATGGTCAAGCTTCGCAAATATCTCAAATTGTCTGTCCTATCATCACGCTTTCATTGTTCAACTAAGTATCAGAGACTACTTTTAACTAAAGACACTTGGATACTAACCAACATGGAGTCAAAATAGTTGTGCAATAAAACTATTTGGTGGCCCCTTCAAATGGATAAGTGAGATCAAAGTCTGGCTACAAACACTTCTCTTCACTTTTTATCTGCTGAAACATTTGCCACACTAAGCAAATTCACTCCACTGCAATTAGAAGGGAGTTACACAGCAAACACGCATTGATCTTTCAGACTGAGCAGCTCACATTTGGTGTTAATATTAGGCTGTGTGCTGGAAAAGAACTTAAAACATTTTCCTGTGAACATTATCACTTGTTTATCACTACAGACCCATAAACTGGAAGTTGACCAATCAAAAGGACCACATTTCATGTCATGGATGTCAGTGCACCCATCCATCTAACACGTTTATAGCTTTAAGAGGAAGGAATCAAGCACGTGTCCTCAGACATGAGCCAAGTGAAGACAGGGGTGCTATTTGCAGAGCCATGACACCACCAAATACATGAGATCAAGGATTAGCTTACAGTACCAGCCTATGGTACTGCCATTTCGCAATGCTTTTGAACTGAATTCTTTTGAACTGATTTCACAAATGAGACTCAAAAACAAGGCATGATGCAGACCTCATCTGTCACACAGGCAGTTCATAGAAAGACTAGTACTTCTTACCAGCTAGAGTGTAGTCCATATCAAAGCCGAAGCATTTTATCTTCTCCATTGCCAAACTTCTATTGACAAAAACTCTGTGGACGTAAAAATACAATCAATTTAAGAGTAATGCCATGCATATTCAATATTCTCTTAGTTGCAAACCAGTGTTAAATTCAGCAGACTGTATTATTCCATTGGCTTGAGCACAAACTGTGAGCTGTTCAGCTCTCAGGGAGTTTAGGTTAGTGTAGATAATGATTTACACTGACATAGTGTGATCCGTGAAAGCAATAAATCTGAATTTATGCATATGGTTCATTTATATCTATAATTTATATCAGTGACACCACTCATCTGGGTAATAAACTCTACCTTTTAAAAAGTTTGATGACGGTATTATTTTTTTATGCTTTTGAAAGAAGTCTCACATTTCCATTTTCATTTCTTTGATCAAAAATAATGCAAAAACAGTAATAATTTGAAATATTATTACAATTTATAATAACTGTGTTCCATTTTATTATCTAATTTATTTCTGTAATAGCAAAGCTGAATTTTTAGCAGTCATTACTCCAGTCTTAAGTCATATGATCCTTTAAATCAATCTAATATGCTGATTTGGTGCTCAAGAAACATTTCTGATTATTATCAATGTTTTTAAAACAGTTGTGCTGCTTAATATTTTTTGTGGAAACCATAATACATTTTTTGATTCGCAGGAAGTTCAAAATAACACCACTTATTTGAAAATATTTTCATGAATTTCATGCACCCTTGCTGAATTAAAGTATTAATATCTTTCAAAAGAAATGTAATTAGTGTAGCTTTACACTGATATATGAATAATACCAATATATGAAAGGTTATGATTCATCACAATTACTTGAAAAATATGCACTTATATCTGCATTTGAGAAGCTTTTGTACATTTCATTATGTTAAGAGATAATAAAAAAGATTTACACCTTGGTAAATAAGACTGTATTTTAAGTATAAAATATATCTGTTATTGTCTTTCACATTTTAAAACAGTACTATTGTCAGTTGTTTTCTAAATTATGTTAAACGCAGTGCACTACAATTCATTTTATTTTAGTTCCCCTGATGCTACTACATCTATAACCAACTATATCTGAAGTGAAACATTAAAAATAAAACTGCATTTACACTAGGAACAAATGAGCTGTTACGTTACAGTGAAATTATGTGTTAAAAGCATGAAGGAGGGAGATACAGCTAGAGGAAGGGAGAATGAAGGAATGATCTCACAGATTAAAATCCCATCACAGGTCTTCCCATGGACACCTACATACAGTCACAGCACAGTGCAAAAGCATTGATGGTTTTGTTCATCTTATATTTTTAGTGCTGTGGTGTGATGAGTACATTGGTGAAAAAACCATCAATTACAAAAGGGATGATCAATCAGCACTGCAGGTCGACGACAAAACTTTGGCATACCTCATATAGGGATGACAGTGGGCCAGTTCCTGTGGTAAGCTTTGTAATAAAGGAATACATGGACTACATATTATAACAGTAATAAAACCAGCTAATACCACCACATAAAGAACTGTGTCCAGATCGCTAATAATTGACAATTCAGGTCTTCTTACAATTAGATTCATTGTGATTTTTTTATATATTGCACTTTGTGACTGCCATGACGTGTCTTTTTTTCTGCAGAAAACTGCATATTAAGTCTGCATATAAATAAGGATTGCTCTTAAGAAACAACTGTTTGCCCTGACAAACAGTATTTTAGGAACTTTCCGGTATTATGCTGACAGGACAAATTAAACTGCCAAAGGGCATAATTAAATTTAGCCTACTAAAATATGAGATATGAGTATCAGAATGTGCATATACACTATTACAATGGTTGTTTTAAAAGAAATTCTTTTAATACTTCTTTAAATATTCAATAAGTGAGCACAGTCAGAAAACACTTCATTCTTTTAATTCAGAAAAAAAGCTTGCAATATAAAATCCTTTCTTACAACACATGCAAGCTGACATCATTTCAAAAATGAAGTTGACGGAATTTGACAGACAGACATGTCTGCACATGAAGCAGCATGATGGCATGATGGCATATTCTGCTTTTTTTTTAATTAAAACATAATTACAAATCTAAAATTATATTGGATGGACACCAATTTTTCTTCTGTGTACTTAAAATGATTGTGAGCATAAAATATCTCAATGTGAATGTGTCTTCATTATGGACCATAATCTTAACAGGTCTGGAAGGGAGACCAGCAGGTAATTTAAGGTCATTTCACCAACTGCCTAAATTTACTTGTTTTGTCTTGAAACAAGTAAATTTAGGTATGACAATGTATTTGTTTTCAAGCCACCAAAATACTACATAATCTGATTTGACCAATATAATGGTAATGGCCTGCAAAGCTGAAGGCATAAGTGAAATGTATTAATACCTGTGATGCACCTCTCTTCTGTACTTCTTCATGGATAAACCATCCATGTTGGCTGGAAGGTCTGCATAATCCTGGAGCCGATCACTCCAAGAGGTCGTCATCTTTAACCGTTATAAATCTGAGAACGATACCAACACTTTATAAAATGCAAATAATGGTTATAGTTCTTTTAATAAATAATAATAATAATAATAATAAACTATAATGCAACGCAAGCAGACTGGACAATACAATGAATGTGAATATACACATTACTTGTTTAGTATCTCAGAGGTTAAATGTTCGCCACATTCAATTGTTGCACAATAGCTCAGCCTGGCCCTGCAGATAAGATATGATATGAAACATTTTAAACAGAATCTCAAAATGTTAATCGAATCTATTCTAATGCTCCATGAATAATGTCAGTGTAACATAATTTCCTGTCTAAAAGATAAACAGTCATGAACAGGAAGAACCGACACAACCACAGAAAGTAAATTGAAACAATGTTTAAATCCATTGCAAAGTACCAGCTTCATGTTTCTTTAAATACCCCATGAACTGAACTAATCTTTATTTTCTAACTATAACACTGAAGGACAGCTTCGCAGAAACCACACAATATTCTACAATATGTATTTTTTCCTCAAATACCAAAATTAATGTCGTTATCTTTCATTCTCTACATCAATATGTGGCTGTAATATCAAATAGTGAAGACCACCTATGAAAAAATAATAACGCACAAATAATAAAATATGACATACATTAAAAAAAAACATTATGCACATTATTGGCATCTTTGTCTTACATAAGAGACAATGAGCGGGTCTCGTGCATTTATTTAAGCTATTGCCACATTTATTTAAGCTATTTATATAAGCTATTTATTTAAGCTATTGAATAAGCTATAAGCTATTATTCAAAGCTATTGCCGTTTCATTAAAATAAATACCATATTAAATCTTCAGACTATTCAGTAGAGTCAGTGTAAAAATTTACAAAGGATTATTAAGCTATATAGCCTATGTGAGCAGATCTTTCCTCTTGTTCATGGAGTTCCGTGATGGTAAAGTTAGCACACCAGCTAGCTAACTAAAATTTTTTTTTAGTTTTGATCAACCGGATACTACTCTATAAAAGGGAGGTAAATGTTTTACGAATGTGGCTATAACACTTATATACACAGTAGTCCTGCAACGATTAAATGACAGAACTGATTATTGAAACGCGTTATATTTCTGCACAGAGTCAGTACGTTACTTACCTCACCACACCAACAACTGCAGCTCTGCGCTATTTGCAATGCGCATGCGCAGATGATGCATTTAAAAACAATTTTAAAAGCTCATTTAAATGCAATTTATATGAACACTTTATTGTTGATAGTATGTGTAAGTGATGTCATTCAAATAATAGATTGCATGATCAAATGTAAACCGAATAATGAATCTAAAAGCAGAGGTGGACGGCTTTTGTCATTCGGACACATTTAACATGGTTGAAAATAAGCTTGTTGGTTGAAAAATGGACACATGGTTGAAAATAGGCTTGTTTGAGGCTGAGATGAGCAAAATCTGCGCGGAACTGATCACCGCGAGATACAAGCCGGTTAAATGTGTCCGAATCTGTTCCGAATGCGGTCCGACCATATGTCCGACGTACTCTGATGTCATGCTGAGTGCTGACCATAGGTGCTGACATCATAGACTGTGAACAGTGTGACTCGTTCTTTATTTATTTTTCTTTATTTTCTTTATTTTATTTTACTTTTTTTGTATCTCCCCTGGCTTTAAAGTGTATATTGTATTGTATTGTCTTGTTTAAGCAATAAAAAAAAAAAAAAAAAAAAAAAAAAAAAAAAATATATTTACGCGCACGCGCATTAAAACACTTCAAAGGCACGCAGCATTTAAATAAACATCTAGAATTATAACATATAACATAATTTAAAATATCATTAATATTAAATCATGAATTTAGTTCTATGACCCATTCACTTGAAAAATGCTTTATTTTTATACCATCACTTTGCTTTTGCTTTTTTTTTTAATTATTTATGTATATATATATATATATATATATATTATAGGCCATATAGCCTACTTGTAGAAGCAATTTCAGGACATCTGTATTTTATATATATATGTGTATTTTTTTTTTTTTACATTAAAAGAGAATATGAAGACTGGCTTTATATAAATGAAAGAATAGGCTTGTTTGAGATGCGCCTTGCCTCGCCTGAAATATAGTCGAGACGAGAGTAGGCGGCTGCAGTGAGAGGAGGAGTGTTGCGTGTATGGCGCTCGAACTGTTCCATTCGGGTATGGCGCTCGAAATGTTCCATTCGGCGACGAGACTGACAAGCACGACAGATAACTATCGAAAGCCAAATGGTTCAGAATTCGTGTGGATTTGATCGCCGTCTAAATATTAAGACGCCGTCTTCATAACGCCGCTAGGCGTTAAATAAGCGCCGTCAGGCGATAAGTTAACGTCACACGCCGCCACGCGTTAAAATAACGCCACTCGCCGATAGATGTTAAATTGACGCCACACGCCACTCAAAATGCAGATTTGTGAGCTCATCTACATGGCCCCTCCTATTCTGAGTTTGAGGACTCTACGGCAAGTCGGAGAAGACAATCCTGTTTGGAAGCGGACGAAAATGGCAAGGAGAGGATTTGTTTTGCGGTGTAAACACACTGTAAATGACTGCACTCGCCTTTTATACTCTGATAATCCAGGGCCTGATGTCTTTCATCATTAACTCTCTGCCCATTTCGTGTTTTGAGCCCAAATCAACTCAGATAAATAAACAAATGCACATTCCAGCACAAGGCAAAAATGTTCCAGAAAAAATATAACTTTTATAGCACATGCAATGACCTGTTTTTGGAATTTGCAGTTTACATTTTATAATAATTTCAAATTCAGAAATGCAGGTTTGTGATTCTGCAAGTGCAAATCTCAACATTCAATTTCAGATTTTTATTTGACAGGTTTTCACATCAGAGCTGTAAGTGTAAATTTTAGCATATAAGTTCTCAAATTCAACTGAACGTGCAATTCACACGATCTCTAAGCGCTTTATTATAACTCGCTGTCTTCACGAAGTGCTGAAATGTAGGATGTATCATTATGACATGGCCATTGTCAGGAAATGAAGAAGGAATATGTTCCAAATCAAACTTTATTAACGAGACAGAAGATAAGAGGTAATCATTTCTTTAAATTTTTTTTCTTTTTTTTTTTTTTTATCAGTTGGCCGGTCACACGGCTTTCATAGTTTTCATTTAGGCTACGTGACGGCGGAGACCTGCAGTTATTTTTATTTTTAATTTAGTTTTATGTATTTATTTATTTATATCTTATTTATTTATATCTTGATTTTGAATTAGTTTTATTTTTCGTGGTAATTTTAGTTTAATTTGAAGCAATTTCGTTATTTGCTTTTGTCATTTAAAAAAATAATTTAAAATAGCTATTTACGTTTATTTTAGGCTATATTTAATTATTTAGGCCTATATATAGGCTAATTTAGCTATATATAAGTTTAGTTTAAGTTTTTATTTCCAGTTCATAATTTTAGAGCTTCAAATTCAGCTCATTTCAGTCTGCAAGGCAACATTTTTTTTCGTTCTTTTTTTTAAATTAATATACTGTATATGCCCATAATTTAAAGGCCCATTTTATTTAGTCTAATTTTAGCTTTATTTCAGTTAACTTAAATGCTTAATGTTACGAATTATTGCGCCCACACCGCAATGACGTAATTTTTGCCGCGCGCACTTCGCGCTCTTGCGGACGCGTCGAGTATAAACAAGGCTTGACGGCGCTTATTTAACGCCTGGCGGCGTTATGAAGACGGCGTTTTAATATTTATACGGCGATCAAATCCACGCGAATTCTGAACCATTTGGCTTTCGATATGAAGACACGTTGTTACACGTTTGTGTTTTTCTTACCTTAGTTTAACTTCTTATGCTTCTATTGTGTCATCTAACTAGTCCACTTTTGATTATTGGCTGATTTAGAAAGTTATGTGCTGTGTAGGCCCTATTATTAAAGTTAAATATAGCAGAGCCTAGGCTATTAACAAACCAGGCATTGACGGCTAATTCGGAAAAGCACGAGATATTCCACATAATTTTTATCAATCTCCCATTAAAACGGAAGTTTTAGGAACAGACAATGGCTCATATGGAAATACGCTTTAACATACATTCAAATGCAGCGAAAACTGCAGCCCTATATATCTGGGTTTTTTTTATGCATAATACAAATCAAATAGACTAGCCATGAATTAAAAAGCCCATTGCCTATAAAATATACTGACCATTTATCAGACAAATGGAATTTACAAATGTAACAATTGTGGTCTCAGATAAATATAAAAAGGTTTATTCCTACTCTATAGAGGTTAAGATATGTCTGAATCTCAGGAGGATATCTTTGATCAAGTAGATACAGTATCTCTGTAAATGCAAATAAAATTGATGTTCTTTATTTCATTCAAGACCTTACACCAAAACAGGCTTGGCTTCTATGGAAACTGAACATGTGTTTATTGTATAACCTCAATTAAAACATCCAGAGCTGACTATGAAAAATCAGATTCTAGCGGTTGAGAACATAGGCCTATTGAAAGTCTTTAAGTAAGGTCCACTGTAAAGGTTGAATTGTAATGTTAAACATCAAAGTATTAACTAAAATAGGTTTATGTTGAACTATTTTAATATTGAACAAACTAATAAATACATACTTTCTGTAATGCCAACTCCCAATATTGATATTTTTGGCAGCCAGCTTTAAAACTTAAAAAAAAAAAAAAATAATAATATATATATATATATATATATATATATATATATATATATATATATATATATATATATATATATATATATATATATATATATATATATATATATATATATATATATATATATATATATATATATATATATATATATATATATGCAATAATTATGGTTCATTTTTGCCATTAAAAATAATACCAAAAATTGTTTTCTAATTTAAAAAAATTTTTTTTTCAATTAATGCAGTATTTCGGATTAATATAGAAACTAGGCCTTTTAAATTTTTTTTTTAAAATCAGATTAGTGCCATCTGTTGAGAGAAAATGAAATAAAACATGTAATTTCATGGTGTTACCACTAGATGCCAGTATAGCTCTCTGGAGAGGCTTGTGAA